TTTTTTGTCCTCGTGGACGATAGAACGAATATCCGGGCATTGAATGCCATGGCGTTCCGTAGACTTTTATACCGTATACCTGAATTTCTTATTATTAGTAGCTGTAGTGAAGGCACACAATGATCGCTATGGGTGGAGTCAGACATACTATGTATGCCTTCTGCTATCGTCCTTTCAACGATCGTAGGGTGGAGGGCACGATAATGAGGAAGGTATAATGGAGGCCCTGACTCCGCCCATATGATGAGTGTGGTCTACGCCGTAAACGGATCCGTTTGATCCTACCACGTACCTCAATTGAGCGGTCGCAGAGATATGTGCAGTTACTGAGCAGCTCATAAGCCTTCTTAATTCCAAGCATATTCAGTCCAGCCATTTGCTTATCATTCATCACTTCGCCGTCTTCAAAACCAAGTTCGTGATTGCCGGGGATCACCAGTTTATATTTATGTGGGAGTTGACCTAAAATAATTTCAGAATTCTCAGTCAAGCAAAATGAATGAAAGATGGATTGTGTTAGGGAGAACTGGATCTTCTTCATCTCAATCGTCAGCCCGTCAGTCCCCTGCTCAAGTGCCCTGAGCTGCTCCGGGCTCTGGAGTGCACCAGAACTGAGCAAGAAATTTTTTGGAGTTCGTCCCGCCCGTTCCGCTTAATGTGATCGTGTCTGTCTCATCTCATTCGCAAGCCCTCTGTGGACCTTAATTCGCTTTTTCCCGGTTTCTGGATCGCACCGGGCCGAGTTCTGCGTTCTTCAATATTGCCGCACCTACACCCCTTATCGCCTGAGAGCGTGGCATCCGAACATGGAAAAGAATGGGTTATTCAGGCGATATTCCAGTTCGAGACAACAGTCATCTTGTAGTGTCTTGGACAGAGACACGATCAACAGAATGAAAATATCATTCCAAAAGCGCAACCACGCCGCGTTTAGTTAAAATACGCAGCCACGCCTACCACATTTCAGGGATCCGGTGTGTACCTCCGCGCGCCCATGCTTGCAGCGCGCGTGTTTCTCTCATCTCGTTCACGGTCTCTGGCTGAACTGAAACCTTTTTCACGGTATCTGGTCTGTTCTGGAACCGACCCTCGGCTCTGCGAACATCAGCGCATGCTCCGCTCGACGACAGACGACATCTTGATCTTACCACACTTTTCCGTCTCTGGACTTTCTATAACCTTGTTACGAATTTTTGAAATTTTTTTTGACACCTCGAGGGTAAGCTCCGTCCATTGCGGGGTATCGCCATGCGACAGATATACCCAATCCCCGTTCGACGTCTATCTTCCTCAACGATCTTTCTCTGATATCCAAACTGCCTTGGAACCGAGTTGCGAACTTTTATAGCGAGCACCGCCTTTCTAGTGTCCGCATCGCCCGCTCTGGTGTATCTCGCCCATTTCGCCCGTCCCATCCTTTGCTGACCCCAGTGCACATTTCCGGACTCTGGGGCTCCCTGACGGTGGACTATGTGTTTTTGCCACTGTCGCCCTTCACTCCGGACGCATGCCCCGCCCTTTCTGGGTGGAGCTTAGCACAAAGTGTCTGATCTTCCCAGCTCACAACTGACCCGCTCACTCAACTACTAGCTAACTTTTCAGGTAATGACGAAGTTGCAAACAAAGATCTCACCAATTTCAGAGTTGAACTTGATGACTTCTCCAAGATCGCCATAGTTGGTGAAGTCTCCCGCATGAATCAGCACGTCACCGTCAGGGATGATTGGAAGAAACTGAAACGAGAGATCACATCAGAAATCCAAAAAGAACTGAGAAAGAGATAAATAAGCTCTTTCCAAAAATTCCATGGCTTTTTAGTGATGCCTAATGATTTTTCTGAAGCAGCGTTTAGACTGGGCGTCGACACGCAACAAGAAAGCAGCGTTCAGACTTCTGGCGTCGACGCGCGACGACGAGCTGTTGCCCCCACGGTCAGATACGTCGAGAAAATTTGAGGTCGTGTTTAATATATGAAGGGAGGCTGACTTGGAATACGACTGCTGATTTCTTTTCCTACCCTCTACGGCGAAAGTTTTGGGGGCAAGTTGGTAGGTAGGCTGTAAACAAGAACCGCGCCGAAATGGGGTGGAGAGTGAGTGATTCTTTTGTCTTTTGCAAAAGTTTCTCCCGTCGGGATGTGCCCTGCCCGCAATACTTCGTGACACTTTCTGCTTCTGCATTAACGTTCAAGGAACTATTGGGAATAGAAACCTGTAGTTCACAAGCTATAACTGACCTCATCTAGCCTCTCGTGCGTATCGGAAATGCAGACGAACCTGACTTTGTTGTCAAAAACTGGGGTGTCAAGCCTGAAAATGAATGATCGCTTTTGTTATTGTCTCGCAGTTGAAAGGGTCTACCCCTTTGGGTACTATTCGATAAATCCACGTTAAGGCGACGCGTACAAACTTGACAGCACCCCTTCGCTATTTCATTTAGCACTATTCACTCTGTAGGTCTTGCATGATGAATAATTTTGGCTCTGGTGCGAATGACGCGCTCATGAGGTTATCTGTAGTGCGACTTTCGCCGCATTG